TAGCAGGAAGCTAGCGAAGTCGTAGTATATATCGTCACAAATAGAACTGCCCGGTAAATCGTAGGCAGAGAGAGAGAAGAGGACAACAAACGAGGGGCTGTGACAAACTGTTTCGTCGGAGTTTCACCGACTTATATATATATATATATTTTAATGACGATATCTCAAAGCCATGCAAACCGCATCGGAGACCGTGCATAATGGCCATCAATGATGGCGCCACGTATGGATGGGAGGTATGTTTCCAAAAAAAAAACACAGTACCACAAACAAACAAACAAAAAGACGTCCAAGCGACAGGGGTCTCGCTGGTGGTGATGAGTTTCATCTCGCACCGCACAATCTTGCCAGCGTGACGGCTCGCGACGCCAAGCCCGCTCTACTGGATTCTGCCACGTGTCACCCGATTGCTGCTATCTATAATCCAGACCCGAGTTTAAATCCACATGCTGTCGGATGAACAGAACTTTTATTGTTGTTGTTTTTTTTTTTTCCCGGAATTCTCATAGGTGATGCTATTTTATTTTTTTTCCCAATTGTGAATTGCCTGGGGCCTGTCAGTCCAAAACGATGAAATCTTTTTTTTTTTTTTTTTTTTTATGACGAAATCTCAAAGGCATACAAAACGCATGGGAGACCATGCATAATGGCCATCAATGATGGCGCGACATATAGATGGGAGGTATGTTTGAAAAGAAAAAAAAACACTACCACAAACAAACAAACAAAAAGACGTCCACCAAAGATGCCATTTCTGGAAAACGGTTGAAAAAACAATGGGAGGCAAGCCAGGCCATCTTCAACAAAGGCGTTCTTCTCAGAAGAGCGGTGCACGCGATGCAAAGGTGGCTATGGAGAACATGTTCATCTCTTTGAAGAAAAAAAAAACAAAAAAAAAACAAAAAGGGTGTGAAGGCTCCCATCTATCTGTGTGTGTATCTGGGTGTGTGTGTGTGTGCGGGTGTGTATGTGCACGTGTGTATGTGTGCATCTGTGTATGCATGAGTATAAGCGAGAAAGACAGAAACAGACAACGAACAGAAGAGACAGAAAGAAAAAACGGCTGCGCTATGGCTGTTGCTAACCTCGCGCAAGTGCCAGCGAAAACATGACATTTGTGTGTGTGTGTGTGGCCGTGTTGCAACCGTTTTTTCTTTCTATCTCTTCTGTTCGTTGTCTGTTTCTGTCTGTAGTAATAGTCTGAATGATTACCCCCATCCCCCGCATACAATACACCCTGTTTATTGATGATCACATGTCTTTGAGGACAAAAAAAAAAAAAAAAAAAAACCACATCCGTCTGGGGGTGATAAAAGTACGGGAAAAAAAAAAAAAAAAAAAAAAAAAGGGAAAAAAAAAAAAAAAAAAAAAAAAAAAAAAAAAAAAAAACCCACCTTCGTCTGGGGTTGATAATGATCCTGCTCCTGCTGATCGTGCTCATACCAGCAATCAGCTTCTGTGCGATCAGTGCCAGCATGTCGGATGTGAAGGCTCCTGTTTATTGGTCCATAGTTACACTTCTCTTGATATACCCGAGCTAGGCGTCTGTCCATGTGTGTATATGCGTGTGTGTGTGCCGGTGTGTATATGCGCGTGTGTATGTGTGCATGTGTGTATGTGTGAGTATAAGAAAGAAAGTCGGAAACGGAGAATGATGACAGAAAGAAAAATCGTCACAGAATCGACAATATATTTGGAAATGCGAAACGATAACCCGCCAAAAAAAAATATCTTTGTTCGAACGAGGGACCGTCGCACCGAAATTTCACTCTAAATACGGAGGTGCTAAACTCGCTGCTTCTCAACGCTTCCTTCAAAACCTCACATCTGTTATTTTCGGCTCCTCTCTTCTCTTCTGTCGTTTACACTATCCACAGGCGAATCGTCACGTGCTGCTGCTCAAAGGACAAGAATGACACATGCAGAACGACAATGACGTTACCGAGAGGCACATGTGTCACGAATTTCGGCACGCAACAATAGTGACCGACTCCACACTCCAACGCTTATCGTTGTGCAAACCTTGGTTGACACTGTCAATCTCGGCAACAGGACAGCTTGCAACCATTGCGGTGCCGAAAAATGGTTCCATGAACGTACATGGACCACGCTCTGCTGCCGTCGAGGTAATCTCCAACCTGCACTTTGGGAGTATCCTCCTCCCAACACAGCCGCCGACCAAATTCTCTGATTATGGGAAGCCGATACCCCGCAAGGCAGATTGTTGCGATAACGGGTACGACAATTCAATAATGCTCTGGCGCTCGCATCCCAAGTCGTTCAAGAACCGCGTCCGCCCCCGGGCCCTTGGCCTAGCATGGTGAGAATTGTCGGCCAACTACACCATAATCTTGACCCGCTTCTCCCGGACCCAGATCGTGAGCCCGCGTTCACACAACTATATATATATGATCCACAGGACGATCATGACGCCACAATTATTCGTTTGATTCGCTTCTCGACACGCCACTTGCCACCGTCCAACAAATCAAACAGTTGTTGCGTAAACTCCATCGTCTACTTTTGATATGTAATGTTTGGGTGCACGATTTCATCACTGTATTTGAGCTTCCTGATGACATGATACGCGATTGCCATATTGTTCAACCCCGACGCTCGACCGTTAAATGAACACAATCGAAGATACAATAAACGTCAAGGTCTGAAAGAAGTTTGTTTTTTGATGCATGATAGACCTATCAATCGGGAAATAGTTGTACATCGCCGAGCTGGTGGCATATTGCCCATCGCTGAAACCAACCGGGCTTTTGATCCACTGCACTACGTTCTCCTTTTCCCATCTGGAGAAAACGGTTGGACGCCTGACATTGATGATGAAAATGATCCGGATGACACTCGAATCACCGCGCGCGAGTTTTATGCTTTTCACCTTAACACACGCGCTACCGAACGATCAACATTGTTCCATGCCTCGTGACTCTTTCAAGAATATATATACATGGCGTTTGCAAAGATAGAAAACAGGCGCCTTTTGTACAACGGACTGCACCAGTCTGAAATTCGCTTTGACCTCTATCAAAACCTGCATGATCACTTGATGCAAGACGATAACACTGAAAATGTCGGGCAGCGCATTATCTTACCTGGGACATTCATCGGTGGCCCGCGAGATATGCACCGCCGTTACCATGACTGTATGGCCACTGTCCAAGAATATGGGTCGCCTGATCTCTTTATTACAATCACTTGCAACTCGTGCTAGCGTGAAATACAAAACGAACTCCTTCGCAACCAACAACCCTCAGATAGACCGGATTTGCTAGCACGTGTTTTTAAAGGCTATTTACAACAGCTTATTCATGACATTCACTCTTCACATATATTTGGACCGACCGCCGCATATATATACGTTATAGAATTCCATAAACGAGGACTCCCGCATGCCCATTTGGTCGTGACATTTACAAACGATTATAAAATATCGACACCAGAACAAATTGACTTCATTGTACACGCTGAAATTTCTGCCAATCCCGAGCTTCGTGAACTCGTGCTCGCACATATGATTCATAACCCCTGCGGAGCGTACAATCCACAAGCCCCTTGCATGTACAATGACCGCTGCTCCACCACTTCCCTAAAGATTTCTCAGACCATACAACATGGAACGAAGACACCGGATATCCGATCTATCGCCGACGTCAACCGAATGACGCGGTGCGACGATTCCTCGAAATAACATACAGCTTGACAACTCTTGGGTTGTTCCATACAACCCTTTCCTTTTCTTACGATATCGTTGTCATTTAAATGTAGAGATTTGTGCATCTACTGATGCATACCGATACATGTTTGAATACATTATGAAAGGTCCTGATCGGGCCATGGTTGCTGAAATGACAACCACAAACGATGAAATTCAAGCATTCCAGGATATTCGCACAATTGGTGCTGCCGAATCGTGTTCGCGTATATTTGATTTCAATCTGTCCGAACGATATCCGGTCGTCTCTGCATTGCCTGTTCATACTGAAAACCG